ATACTATTCACCACTCTTTTGTCCTGTTTTGTCTTTTATTTTAAAGTTGTGAGGTACAAGTTAGGTTTGCGTATGGTTTTGGCTTTTAAAATCAACTCCATTAAGGTATATTTATAAAAGGTAAAATTCATTAATTTTTAGTGTGCAGTTTTAGTTATGATATATATAGTTGTGTAACCACCACCATCACCACAGTCATTTCCGTCACCCTGGAAAGTTTCCTTGTGTTCCTTTGGAGTCAATCCTGTCTTCCTACTCTGTGGTCCCTGGATCTGCTATTATAGTTGCATTTTTGTAACATCACGTATAAATGGAATCAGACATTAAGTAGTCTCCTGTGTCTTTTTCCTTTCACTTAACATAATAATTTGGATATTCACCTGTATTGTATAGTTCATTTTTTATTACTGAATAGTATTTCATTTTGTTGGTATATCATAATTTATTCATTCACATTTGGGTGGTTTCTAGTTCTTGGCTATTATAATTAAGGTTACTATGAACATTTCAGTACAAGTCTTTGTGTGGACATGTGTAAATACCAAGGAGTGGGGAGCTTTGCTCTATTTTAAATGTAATATTTCATTTCTTAGTTTTGGTAGGGAAGATGAAAAAGTCTATATTAAACCAAAAGGTTAATAGTTATCTCAGGAAAAGACTTAAATTGCCAGCCATTATTCTGTTTTATTCCTTACTCCTCCATCCTAAAAGCTACTACCCTTTCCCTTAACTAATCCTCTCCTTAAAAGGTCTTCTTTCTTTAAAACTCTTATTTACAAGAATTCGCTAGAATTTGAATGGGGTAATTGAATCTTGGCCATATTGCTACACATTGTGTCCTCTGTTCCCTAGGAATTCTACCTTATACTCAGTTTCATTGTTTGGAACCTTTTCTCATTTCTTTCTATACTGCTTCCTTTATCTTCAAGATTTGGGGCCAGGCTCAGTGGCTCAGCCTGTAATCCCGTGCTTTGGGAGGCCAAGGTGAGTGAATTGCTTGAGCCCGCGGGTTCGAGACCTGCCAGGGCAACTTGGCGAGACCTCATCTCTACAATAAATCAAAAAAATTATCCGGGCATGGTAGCATGCACCTGTAGTTCCAGCTACTTAGAAGACTGAGGCGGAAGGATCGCCAGAGCCTAGCAGGTCGAGGCAGTGGTGGCCGGGAGCGTGCCACTGCACTCCAGTCTGGGTGACAGAGTGAGACTCCAACTCAAAAAAAAAAAAGATGCAATTTAAGTATTGCAGAGGAAGCTACAAGTCAAGATTTACGATTTAAAATCTCATGTATTAGGGGTTTTCTAAGGAATTCACTACGTGACCATGTTGATTTGACAATTGACTTAATGAAAGCCTGTGAAGAGAGAGCTACATTTGCTGACTCAATGTGTATGTTATCCTCTTGGCAGTGGAGGCGAAAGAGTTAATTTAGAAGAAAAGGATACTTGGAAAGTTGTTTCCTGCCCTCCCAAGTGCATTATGTATGTATACATACATGCGTCCATAAATACATACTATATTTCTTAAGTTAGGGATTTTAGGTTTAAATTGGCTTACATTTTAGGTTTGAGTTGATCGAGTTTCATTCACAGTGTGGGTTATTCTGATCTTTTATTACAACATCATTTACCTGCATTCAGAGAACTCAAGTCTAAATTGAGATGAGGGAAAAATTAGAGTGCTAGTAGAGAGATCAGGCAGGGTAGAGGATTTGACGACCTGAGAAAATGGGAGAGAAAACTGAGAAAATGGGAGAGAAAACGGATTGGGATGAAAAGGTTTTGCTTGTTTTGTAGCAGGACATTTTGCAAGAGCCTGTTAAAATGCTTTCTTTAAACAAGGCAGTGTTTGGTGCTCTGGGGTTACAAAGATTAATCTGATACAGAGCCTGCCTGAAAGAAGGCCACAGTTCAACAGCGCTCAGGATATGGAATTAGCTAAAGTACAAGTAAATATTGTGCGGTAGCCTCCTGATCCCTGATGTACAATATATCCAGATTGGTATAGAAAGCTAAAATTCATCCCATTCTTCCCAGGTCAGATTTTCCCAGTCCTGACTCCTTCATAACCTCCAATTCCTGCCTCCTCCTCTGTTAGTGAACTAAGTGATGTGTTTTGTCATTACATTTCTTTCAATGTGAATTGTCTGTGAGTTTTCTGGTAGAAAAACTGCTGTTTTGGGTCCGTGAACAAGTTTAAAAAACGAGGTGTTGGTATGTCAACACTGTGCTCTTACAGCTCTTGAAGTCTTATAAAGATGAACTTTAGTTACAATAGGTGAGAAGGTAACAATGGAAGATAAAATGTGAGGAAAAGTCCCTTTTGCATTGGAGAAAACTCAAAATAGTATGGTGATATGTAGCCATCAGTATTTTCTCTTCTTGCGTGTTTTCTTTCATATTCATTAATGTTCTCCTGTTTTTTCTCTTTTCCCCTACTTCTTTGTTTCCACACTTTTATTTTTTTATACCACTGCAATGTCTGTGTATTTTCCACTTGTGTGTTAGTCTCTCCGTACTTTAAGAATGAACCTGTTCCAGCTGTAGAGTTCCTTAACATTAGAAAGTCTTTTGTATTGAACTAGAATTTGTCTCCTGGGACTTCTATACATTATTTCAAATTCTGTACTCTTATGCCACAGGAGATGTGCCTGCCTTTTTCTCTGTCTTCCTAACAGTACTTCAAAACATGTTCCTTTTTGTCTTTTTTCTAGGTTACTTGCTCCAATTTCATACAGTAATTTTTTGTATGAAATGGCTTTCCTGAATTTATAACCATCCTGTTGGTTTCCTGATAACGCTCATTCATCAATATCAAACTTAACATACGGTACCCAAACCTGGATACTGATTCCTAATATGGTTTGCTCTGTCAGTACAGTGGATCACTATTTACTGTAATCCAGCTTGATGTTCAAGGGCACCAGGCTTTGGAAACCAATAGATCTGGCTTCAAGTCCTAGCTCTGTCACTTACTGGCTCTGTGATCTTGAACAATTTCCTAACATCTTCAGACCTCAGATTTATAATCTGTAATAAGTTTGTAGTGATAGCACCTGCCTTTTTAGGGTAGGATGAGGATTAAGTATGCATGTAAAACTCAGGATAGTGTCTGTTACATAGTAAACACTCATTAAATGTTTATTATTATATAGGAAGCATGTGTTTGTTTTTTTGCAGTCCACAATTGGTACAATTTATGTTTTAGCTGTTATATTGTACTGCAGGCTTATTTAAACCTCTGGTGAAAACCAGAAAGTTTTAATAAGTTCTATTGAAGCAAAATTAAACTCTTAGACAAATATTTTTGTTTTGTTTCAGTAACTGTAAGGGTATATATGTGGCGTTTGTGGTGAAGTGTGAGCTTCAAGTGTACCTGTCACCCACCTAGAGCACATTGTACCCAATAGGTAGTTTGCATCCCTCCCCCGTCTGAGTCTCCAGTGTCCGTTACACCGTTTTATATACCTTTACAGTGTTCATTATACCATTTTATATGCCTTAGCTCCTGCTTGTAGGTGAGAGCATGGTGGTATTTGGTTTTCTGTTCCCGAGTTACTTTACTTAGGTTAATGGTCTCCAGTGTGTGAAAGATATTCTATCAAATTACAACTCTTACAAGATTTTGAATTATTTTAAAAAATATTTACATGTATAGTATAAGTAGATTAAAAGAAAACATTTGAGTTATTTTGAATAAACCTTACATTGTCTCTTATAGCATGGCAAATGTGAAATATTTCAACATTAAGTACTTTTAAATTAGTCTATGAAACTGGAGTGTGTAGATGCTATTTCTCATGATGTTTTAAAACCATGTTGCTGTTATAAATAGTACATTTACTATATTCATGAAGTCTTAAAGCTTTTCCTGAAATTTACTATAGAAATTGAGACCAATATACGTATTAGGCCAATGTACATATAGGAGAAAAGCAGTTATCTGAGTATTCTAGGACATTTTGATCAAAGTGCACATATTTTGACTGAAGTTTACTTACAATCGTAGAACAAAAAATGCAGGCAAAAAGAAAAGACATTGAAACCTATAAGCCTAAAAGGTGTGTGGCCTTCTGATGCTATTATGCAGTAAAGTTTTTAACGTAATAGTGGTGTTAGATTATTATTCAAAAATTAGATTTGATAAGGATATGAGCAATAAGGCAATTAAGAGTTATGTCAAGTTTTTAAACAGTATTTTAATGTAGGACTAAAAAAAAAATAAATCTTTTAAATTGAAATCTTTTTACTGTTTTTTTCTGCGGTGAAAGCTGTCATTTTGATGGCCTGTGTAATACAAATTTGCTAATGGGATGGAGAAATAAGGACCTTTATTTTGTTGTTGTAGTTAGTTCCTAATTTACCAACCTTCTGGTTTTTTGTTTTGTAAGTTCTGTTTGAGTAATGTAAAATACAATATTTCTATAGGAATGAAGGGTTTTTTAGACAAGCTTTCTTAACACTTGATTAACCTTTAGCAATAATGGTACCATAGAAATTTGAATCTGTCAAGAAATTTGCTATAAACCATAGAAAATGTCAGAAACATGGCATCTCCTACTGTTGCAACAGATCTAAGACTTTCATTCTCCAGTCAGGAGCTATATAAAAAGGTTATACTTGAGACACTTAAGACAATCCACCGACTGTCTATTTGTAGAAATGTTCTTTAGTTGGTGACTGTTTGTTCTATATAACTAGACTTTAGAAAAACAAAAACACCTGCTTTTGCTTACTTTGGGTAAAATGACTACAAAAAGTAATCCTTATTCACCTAGCCTGTGGCCAGTATAGAAAAATCTCTAGGTTAATTATGTATGTATATTACAGTAGCATCAAACGCCAAATGGAATGATTTTATTTGTTAATTTTTCCTCAACAACCCTTTTTATGTAGCTATGATAGTGAATGCACTCCTTAAATTTTTAGAAGATTAAAATGTGGCACATAATACATTTTATAAAAATGTCTCAACTCTGTTTCATGTTAAATGTGTTACAGGAATGAATCTGAAGTCTGCTGAAGTAAAACACTGAAGGCTTTAAAATGTTTTCTTGCATAAAACCCAAACTTTAAGTAGCTGCTTATGAGAATAGGGAAGGCAGGAAGCTAATGTCTGTCTCAAGATACAGAACAGCTGTTTGCTCATCAACCTCAACTGTGTGAGTAGAGACTTAAGCCTGTGTAACTGGACATAGTAACTTAATTTTTTTAAAATTTAAATTGCTTGAAGATACACTTAAGTCAGCATGATGAGACATTTTCTAGGGGATATTTTTTTCTGGTGGGTAGGATACTGAGGGTGGAGCGGGTGGTAGATTTTAATTTATAAAATATTTTTGTGCAATAACACTTATAATTAATGTTATTAGTGACCATGTATCTTTTTTCAGAATTATTCTAAGCATTGGAATCTGCATTACTAATTTTGTTATTGTGAAGCAAAAGATTGTAATTCTTTAGATTGCTACTTATTCTGCATTTGATTTCAGCCTTTATTAAAAGTTAATATTTTGACCAAACAACCACAAAAATAAAGTATTTTGGGAATATAATGTTTTATATAAATATAGAAAATTGCTCCTGGAAATAATGTAATAATTTAAATTATAATTAATAATTTAAATTATAATTAATAATTTAAAAGTTAATATTTTTTAAAAACTTTATTTAATTAAAAAGAGTATATACTTCTAAATAAAAGAACCTGTGTTCCTAAATGCAGTTGGGAGTCTTTTAAATTTGCCAATTTTATTTTTAAGGTGCTTTCATAATTTAAATCCTTATTGCAGAAAAAAAAATTATCCTTTTATTTCTCTTACTAAAAGTTATCACTTTAAGAATCCCTTGGGGGAGGGGTGTCTGCTTTTTCTTCCCTGCCATCCACTCTCCCTGATTTATTTTTCTGCATAGATTTATTTGTGAGACTCTTAATTGGATGTTTTCTCTCCCTTTAAAAGAATGCTTGGTTTGTACAGATGGGATGATTAAAATATAAAGCATTGTATTGTGCAAAATTATGAACTTGTAGATAGAGATTTTTAAAATCATAACTGTTTAGTAAGACATGTGGTAGAAGGAATGTTATTTGCATGATGTATTTGCACTTAGATGAAATTACTTTGTCTTATCACAAATGTGTTGACTGAAGAGAAATGGACTGTGTTTAGACTAAAGCAGTAAATGAGAAGACCTTTATAAAACACATGAAGAATGCACATTGAGTATGGAGATTCCTACGAAAGTAATTAAAGGGTATGCATGGCAGAAATGAAGGAGAGATACATGTAACTGCATTCAAAACTAGTGAAAAACTCAAAGGTTTCAGTTTACTCTGTTACTTTCCTTTCTGTATTGGTCAGTAGATATATAGCACTGTGTGAGTCTCCAAGGGTTATCCTAGTTCCTAATTTTTCAGTAGCTCTAGAGAAGTATTTATATTCTCCTTGTTTAATTATGAGAATATAATATGAGATTTAACTCCCCAGTTACAGTCATTTGGTGTTTTCCTTGTAAAGTCAAGTTTAATTTGGTGCTATTTTGTGTACAGCACTTCGACACTCTTCTCTCCTCTCTCTTAATTAGTGTCAAGAATGAAGAAAATTCAAAGTGAAAGAAGTCTCTGGAACATACTAATGAAACTTTGATCTTTAAAATAAGATTAGGTAGAAAGGACACACAATAAGTAAGAGAATCTTTTATAACTTACAATGGATTTAGGGGGAAGTTGTGTGATAGAAATTGGTCCCAAATTTCCTTTAATCTCTCCGAGATGATTCTCTGTGTTCTATATTAGTCTTCTACAAGGGAGTAGAGGAAAGTGCTAAGAAGCTAATTAAATTTACTGGGCTAGAAAGTATATGTAGATATATGTAAGTACCATACACAAAACTCTTTATCCCCCCTCCCTTGTCCTACCCTTGACCTTACTACAATAGTGTAGGCTTCTCATTGATTTGTATCTACTTCTGTGACAGACTTCTACCTAGATTAAGTAATGTATTTTACCTGTGTTTACTGTTGAATAATGGAATATGATTAAGAGGAAGTTCCAGAACATGATTAAGTACACAGCCTGTGGAGTCTGGCTGCTCAGGTACAGATCCTCACTGGCCCATCTAACAGCTATGTAATGTTGAACAAATTACTTAAACTTTTCTGTGCTGCAGTTGTGTAATCTCTAAAATATATGCAGCAATAATTTGCTGCCTGGTAGGGTGTTGTGATGTTGAGTGAGTCATCAATACTTGCAAATTATTGTCATCATTTTTAAAGCTCTGTTTCTTGTTTGAAAGGAGGAATACTAGGTAAAGTATTATAAATTCTCAAAGTAACAGATTTTAAGACTTTAGGATTAAGAATTTGGAAATCACAAAGTGGGGTATTTTCAGTTAAGTTATCATGTGGCTAACAGCTACTGTATTGGACAGTGTTGTTCTAGACATTTGGATTTGCTCAGTAATGTATTTGCATTAAACATGACATGTATTGGTGAACGTGATTTTTTTTTTTACTGGAACATAGAAGATTGGCTCTTGTATCAGATATAATTCCATGAAAGAAGAGGATAGGAAGCAAAAAATAGTTCTTCAAAAATCTTGGTGAAGGTTAGGGTATATTTTTTCTGGGTTCTAGGTAAAGTGACATTTAAGCGTTTTACACAATTTATAATAGTGTGGTTATTTTTAAAATAAAGGCACTGTATTGACAGGTGAATCAGGCAGTGTTGCAAGTATTGAGGTCTGTCAGAGACTACCTGGATGAAAGAAAGTGAGCCATCTGTGTGTGTGTCTTACGGAAACAAAAATTAATTTTTACACTTAGATGCCAGTAGTGTGCTTTCTACTGTAGAAGCACATTTGAAGACTGACAGTGTTATGGGTTGTGCATTAATTTGGAGTCTTTCAGGGAGGGCTAGGTTTCTGTTAATAGTTTTATTGTAAGAGAAACTCATCTATTTGAGATGATCCCACTAAAGGTTAAAGTTGTTTAGATTTGGGCACTGATAATCACTGTATATGTTTAGCAATATTATAGTTGTTGGCTGGGCTCAGTGGCTCAGCCTGTAATCCCAGAACTTTGGGAGGCCAAGGCGAGAGGATTATCTGAGCCTACGGTCCGAGACCAGCCCGAGCAACTTGGTAAGACCTCGTCTCTACAATAAATCAAAAATTAACTGGGCGTGGTAGCGCATGCCTGTAGTTCCGGTTACTTGGAAGGCTAAGGCGGAAGGATCACAGGAACCCAGCAGGTCAGCGCTGGGGTGGCCATGAGCGTGCCACTGCACTCCAGCTTGGGTGGCGGAGTGAGACTCCAACTCAAAAAAAAAAAAAAAAAAAAAGGGAGATATTATAGGTGTTAGGGGAGATACCAAGGAATAGGAACATGGTCTTATGTTTTAAAAGAAATCAGTATTTACTGGATTCTAATCAGGGACTAGAACACATTGAAACAGAAGTCCATGCTAACTGGAGAAAGAAAAATGGGGGATTATTAGATATATGAAAAATCATATGGATTTGGAAGATTACAGCCTTGGTTCTTATGTGTCTGGTGTCCTATCCTCTCCCAACCCCCACCGCTGACTTTAGATAGTTCATTGGGTCAGGTATTCACCAAGGTCTAATTAGCTTGTCTGGAGGAATTATCCCATGGAACCAAAAGGGCTGCAAGAGCTAAGAGCTGTAGGCATGCAGATTGTATTAGAAGGAAATGTTAGCAGGGAGGCAGTGATTGGCACCTGTAACTTTAATTTCTTTAACTGATTAAAAAGGGTGTGTGTCTACGTGGATGAAAGAAAGTGAGCCATCTGTGTGTGTGTCTTACGGAAACAAAAATTACTTTTTACACTTAGATACCAGTAGGGTGCTTTCTAATGTAGAAGCACATTTGAAGACTGACAGTGCTATGGGTTGTGCATTAATTTGGAGTCTTTCAGGGAGGGCTAGGTTTCTGTTAATAGTTTTATTGTAAGAGAAACTCACCTATTTGAGATGATCCCACTAAAGGTTAAAGTAGTTTGGATTTGGGCACTGATAATCACTGTATATGTTTAGCAATATTATAGTTGGTTGGCTGGGCTCAGTGGCTCAGCCTGTAATCCCAGAACTTTGGGAGGCACAGTGACTCACGCCTATAATCCCAGCACTTTGGGAGGCTGAGGCAAAAGGACTGTCTGAGCTCACGTGTTCAAAACCATCCTGGGCAACATGGTGATACCTCGTCTCTACAATAAATCATAAAAATTAGTCAGGTGTGGTGACACACACCTTTAGTTCCAGCTATTTGGAAGGCTGAAGCAGAAGGATCACCTGAGCCAAACAGGTCAAGGCTGCCGTGTCCACTTCACTCCAGCCTGGGCAACAGAGTAAGACTCTGACTTAAAAAAAGGAGGGGAGGGCGTGAGAACGTTACCTCTCTCATATAGATGTAGTGAGGACTAAGTGAGATAATGCATATAATGCCCTTGGCCCAGGCCTAATATGTAATAATAATAAATGAATTGACATTTTCACTGAGTGCTTAACTCGAATACATATTTAATTATGTAGTTTTGCTGATCTGATTTTTTAGTTTAAGGGAAAAGTTTGGAGAACCTAGTAGGATGAGTTGGTGACCTGTGGATGTTCACTCAGAGCATCTCAGTTCAGAGGTGGGCTGGCTGCCTAACTGGGCTATAATGGCCTAGTTAATGCTCTAAAGTGTTCATGATAGTATATTATTGAGCATTGTGAGTTTTCTCTTAATCAGGAGCTTAAGAGTTTCCAAATTTATTTTAGCCGTTTGAAACTCTTTGTTCAAATGAAATCTTTTACAGGAACCTGGTATGTAAAAATACCAGAAAGAAACTATTCTATTTGAAGCAGAGATTTGTGACTCAATCTGCCTTCTCAGTTTTTTTCTCTGTACACCTTTCCCTCTGCTCAGCAGTCCTTGATAGAACAAAAGCACAATTTTGAGAAATAAACTTGATGAAAGATTGCTTAAATGATAATTTTGAATAAGTCCATGCACATCCTTAGATGCTTTTATTTTAACTCTTCATGAACTTTTAACTTGAAGTTGGCTCTGATCCTGTTGATTTATATTGAAAGGTGATTCCAAAAAGCAACCCCCAAAACTTGTATTTTACTTCACAGATATTGTTGCTTATATCATGTTG